TATAAATTGGATTGCTATGAAATATCTGGATTGTCACTGAATATCTAGACCGATAATTTGTCATGTCTTTCAGTAGTGACACGCATTACACTGTTGTGTCTTTCATGATACCAATGCACCAACTTTCGCAGTACTATCTGAAAAGCATCCGCAAGAGTTTGGGAGGCTATATGTGACTGTTGCTTTCTCTTTCACCCCATTAATCCTTCAGACATTTCTGATGAATTCACAAGGAGGCTGGACACCCTCCATGAAACTTGCCTCCCCATGAAAGCTCCTTTGCAAAATCAGAAAGGATCTCATCTCATGTTCACCCATCAGTTCAGCGCAACGCGTTTCTACCACTAATGGCATGTATTTGGCTGTTATCCTTTAGCACAAGAAGAAAGGTTTTGCAATCCAGGTAGGTGGAGGCTGAGGGAAAAGCCAGATGAGGTATGCAGATGGAGCATGGCACAAGATTATTATTCCAGCTGATATACTGACATCTATTAATTTCAGTGTCTTGCAAATTCAGAATTATCAGAACTGTCATTGATACTGCCCTCTACAACTCCTACTCCAACAGGAAGAATTCAGGTGAGGATACTCTTCTATTACTGTCAACTTTTTCAATTTAAAATGATTTTTGAAGTACTTAATTTTATTTATCCAGACCATTTCCATTCCTGGGAGCAAAGTGATCTTTACTGCCTAGAGCTCAGGTACACTGATGAATGAAATCAGCTCAATGAAATCTTCCCACTCTTGCAAGTAAAACTGCTCTCAAATAAGTGCACAGCTGCCAGTGTGTGCTTGATGTATTTGCTTTGAAATTATTTAGCTATTATTATCAATTTCTCACACAGGTCATTTCCTGTATGCCAGTGAAATCTCCAGATTCCTATGCATTTTTCAGAATTTATTAGAGTTACTAAGAAATCTGAACTTTTTGCATTAAGAGTCTTTATTAACACTGGGAAGTAGCCTACAGTTAGCTATGTCTAAAAGTGCTGGAAAGAAAAACCCCAAGATTTCAAGATGACAGTTGAAAACATCACATGAATCTTCTATTGCTTTAAAGCAACTTTATCTGTTACAAATACGATCTCCAAAATCAGTATTTGAACATGATAGAAGATCTGTTTGCCACTCCCTGCACAGCGCAGCCACTAGCAGCGTTCTTGTTCTTATCCAAATGCTGTCACGAACATTTTGAAGACAGTAAAAAAATTACCTAAGGAACACAACTGCTTGACATTACAAAGAATAACGTATGGGGTCATTCTCACAGCCTCTTGCCATTCATGTCTTTTCAGCTTACGAAAATATTTTATCATCAAATTGCACAATCACCTTCACTAAACAAGTAAAATCACTGTATTTTGCTTTTTCTTCTCTTCCTTCCAAAGGTGTATTTTAGATCCCTTTTGCAAAGCAAAGGTACCAAGTTTCCTGGTTTATTGCCTTGAAGATGAAGCTTTTACCTTCTTTTACAATTCTGAGCAACATTTTCTGGTCCTTTAAAATATTTTGCATGAAGAAATTAAGGGGCTACCACTTTAATTTTCAGTAATAAATAACTAAAACCTTTTCTATGTATATACAAAAGTATTTGCTTCACTGGAGAAAAGGAGGAGAGAAAAACCTTTTCCAGAATTTTTGGAATACATTTATGTGAACTTAATTTCTGCTTTTTGTCTAGTCTTTTAGGTATATTTTAACCTATGATACTGACCAGTTCTGACTAGTAAATGATCAGCCCCTACTGATTCACTTGTGTTTAAAAAAATCTTATCAGCACATTCTCCAAGTGACTAGGGAAGTCAATTGTGATTCAGCAAATTTATTCAAAGTATCCTTTGGCTATTTCATAAAACCCTCAGATATTCAAATTCCCTTATGAGAGAAGACTATAAGAAACATCTGATCAGCTTTTGACTCAAGATCTCAACATCTGTCAAAAGAGAGTGAGAATTTGAAACAGATTCTGCAAAGGCCATGACAAAAAAATGTTGGTTTGTTCTTTATATTAGGTATATATTTGATCATCATGAGACAAAGGGACTTTTACAACTGATTTAGCTGGAAAAGACAGAACTCTGATATAATCTTATGCCTTTTACCTGCAGGGGCATGGTTAAAATGGTGGGTTTGAATTCTGCATTTATTGAGACTACTCCTTAGCAATTCTTTCCACAAAATAAAGGTATAGCATTTAAAAATGAATACCAGACTAACAGCTCCCTCACACACAAATTCTCACATGTGCATGCACAAATACAGAGGCTCTCCTAGTAACTTATCATTTAGCTCATTTAAGTCATTCCCCTTCCTCATAGCACCTACCAAGTGCTATCTCATTTTCATTTTAAGATTATTTTGCAATATTTTCATGACATTTCTCTCCCATTCTTGTGTTACTCATTCATTACTTCAGCCACTTCCACACATTCTCACTAATGCAAATTTAGTTCAAGTTAAAATTGTGACTCTTCAAACATTCCTATAGACCCAACTGTGTGAAAATGATCAGCATAGTGAGGGACTTTTCATACTGACAATTTATATACTTTCTGATTTTAGTGATTTCAACAGGATACATACATGATAATGCATCTGTGGTTGTGGAAAGTACTTCAACATCCATTACTTTCTTTAAAAGCAATGGTATAGATAACTGGGAAGAATAAATTCTGTCTAATGCTCTCCAGCATGAAAAGCAAGCCCTGCAAAACAATTTCCTGCAAATCGATTAAAAGACACTCCGTAATCTGATAACAAAGCAAAACCATGGTAATAGCTTCTGAAGTACTCCATAGATTTCTATTTATTTCCTCTCAGTCGGTATGGATCACTGGTCATGGAAAGGAGACTCTAAGCACGGTGATTTCAATTCCAGGTAAAAGTTAACTCTCTAGCAGAAGCCATTGGTGGGCAGAAAGGCGAGGCTGACCTTGTTATTGCTGACTAAAAGAAAGATGTCAACAGACACCCAATTCAGAAGACCTGGACTCAAATAAAGTTACTACATTGCGTGGTAGCGCATGGAGGAGACCCCACTGTTTTCAGAACTATACATCAAGGGCCTTGACTCCACATCACTTGAATTTTATTTTTTAAACTATGCATTAAAAAGAGACGAAAAAAAAACCCACAAGTCTGACTGCAATGAGGTCTACAAACCACAAAGGGAACTGCAAAGTGCCTCCTTGTTAAGCACTATTTACTCAGTATCTCACATTAGTTCAGACACAGCATAAAAAAAACATCCACGGAGAAATGTCAAACCTTTTTTTGTTGAGATCCCCCACTCTAGAGGCGTGGTCTTATGTAATTGTTCATAGACATGTGACATACCAGAAGAAAAAAAAAAAGAAAAAAACTGAATAAGATATCTGCAGTGGCTTGCTACCATCAGGCTGGAGAACAGAAGGACAAGGGGATATACTAGAAACTATACCGACAAACTTCTCACTGCATGATTGTGAGATCTGATCAATTCAGTCAAATCATCAACTCAGTTATTATAAATGACAGATATCTTTTCATTGTGGGGCAGAGCAGCAGGAAGAAAAAAATTGGAAAAATCAAGCACATGAAATCTCATATCAAAACCTCAGTAGTCATGGTCTCTTTGTCTGCATATATTGAAGAACATAGCTCCATCTGGAGACCAGCTGTCTCAAAGAGTTAAATCAACCTGGTCAATATAGCGTAAAGGGGACAGGAACAATGTCTTAAATGCCACTTCCATGATCAGAGACATTGTTTAATACTCACACAAGAACATTCTAAATCAGGCAAAGCCAAACTGTTTTCAAGACAACCTAAAGAAAAAATCATGGAGGGCAAGTTATTGTAGGATATTCAATGTACACATTTCATTTATAAAATTTGCAGTTCCTCTTCCTGCCAAACATCTGGTTACTTTTCCTTAGTTAGATGTATATTCTTCAGGACAAAGATATCCTCTAGGATTGCAAATGGCTTAGCATATAGCAAACACTGCCCCAGATGTACTTCTCCAGGTTTTTGGGGGTTTCTGCCCAGGTGACAAAATGCTTAGTCAAATAACAATTTCTTATGAAACTTATCACCTATAGAATTAATTCTTTTACTTTCATATAAGCACAAACAACAGCAGCACTACTGTACACATAATTTCTTCAACTTCATAATGCTAAAGCCATGGCCTTTTCTAGTTTGTAGATTCTTTTTTTTTCTTTCCCCTAATACTTATGTCCAGCAGTCAAAAACATTTAAGCAAACTACAAAGTCTTCGAACAAGAGCAGGAAATAAGGTGCATCTAAACTATAATCTGTTCTTTGTAACATGGTGTACAGATCTTCTAAAAAGAAAGCCAACTGTTTACTCACCATCTACAATATAGTTTTTGGAGATTTAACATAAATCCTGGGACTGGTGTTTCATTTCTCATCTTGAATAATTTCAAGTATTTTTAAAGAAAAGAACACGGATCTAAAATTATTTAATTTGTCTTATCATCTTTTTCTGTTTTACCATAGTGTTAGGGTGGCTACATTTTAAATAAATGTTTAGCTCATCAAGCTAATATAGGCACATTATCTCCATCTAACCCATAAAATCTAATTCACAATTCCTACAAGAAAGATAACACACACACCTAACAGAGATGTTCAAAGCTCCTGCTTTCATGAGCCTTCCAGTTAATTGTCTAGCTTTTATGTCTGATACAGGGATCAATTTACAATTTATGTATGCAGATCTGCCAGCAGATTCAAATTAAAATTATCTGCATGAACATGTAGACTCAAGAGTACATGTGTGCTGCTCTTCACTTAACATCATCAAGGTAAGGCTCTAAAGCACAAAAAGAAGGGAGATACAGGCTCTGAAGTCTATGCAGTGTTTCAGTGTCAAACTAACGTTTTAGACAGGACACTGTCAAAGGCACAAACAGGGATTTTACAGCAATTGAATGATACTGATTTTAAAAACTGGATGCCGCTCATAGGAAAAAAAATATTGCTTTTACCTTACTGATAAGTGTGACGACATCACCTTCTCGGATTGTGAGCTCATCATCATTCTGTGCTTCATATGGAAATATCACTTTGCAATACTCCTTGGCTGAAAGGAAGAACATCCAATATGATAAATTATCACTTTTTAACAACTGCTTATCCAAGGGTGAAAATCTTCATAAAATATTCCACAAGTGCCTCCTGCTGCTGCTTTATTTTCTTGCCATCTTTCTCTTTGTATTTTAGACCTTCATAAATATATGAAATATTTACAAACCTCACACTGATAAGCATTCCTGCACACGTCATCCAGGGAGTTGGCCCTGTAGCCCCTAGAACCATTACCTCAAATGAAATTGCTCCAGACAGCAACCTGCCACAAACCATTTCCCTTAGGGTAAGCCTGCACCTGACACTTGCTTCAACAGTTCTACTGGTATGGCCTTCCACCAGATCACAAAAATTGGAAGCATAAAAGACGCAGCATGCTGACATAGCTTATCTATTCCCTGATATGCAGGAAAGAAGGTATTTCTGAATTTATGAAGATGGTAAAATAATAAATCATATATTAATAAAGTTGAAGGCATTCATAAATAAATCTTCTGTATACTCAGCATAAAAGAATAGGTTTGAATATTAGTCTAAAATTTCCTCTTCCCTTTTCCCTTTACCATCTATAAATAAACGCAACATCTCACCTTTCATCTGGAAAATACAGGAGCCAGCACTCCTACTTAGAAATCATAAAAAGCAGTTGTCATGAAAAGCAGTTACTTACAACATGTTGCTGTGCAACAGACAAGTATGTCAATGTGCCTTACAAATAAAAAGGGAATATGTATTCCAGCTGTTAAATAATGTATAAAAAATATATGATACTCTAAGACAGCAGGCTTAAAAGATCAAAGAAACACACACAGATATTCTTGGACCCTTTGTAGAAGGGCATGTGACTATGTAGAAGTGTTCTCCTCACTTTAAATGTCTCAGTTTTGATGACCTCTATATCTAGTCAACCGTCATGTTTGACGCAGAGAAACAGCTACTTGCAGGCCACAGAAATACAAATTAAATTGAAACAACAGGACCTATTTCTTTACACTTACTATATAGAAAACCTGCATTATAACACTTCGGGTGTCTGAGGCTCCACCAGGGCAGAGAGGACACAATGACAGATACAGTGCACAACCTATGGAAGAGCCAGGTCTCTCTGGAGTGCAATTTGCACTGACATACACTAAATCAAAACATTCCTCTGCCTAACAAGAACCATGTGGATGACACTGCAACAGAGCTGGGTCTGGAACCGTCTAAGTGACTGGACAAAGTCAGTCTCAAACTTCTCCTAAGGAAATGATAGACCAACACAATTTAAGTATGTAAAACCAAAGCTAACAGGACTCAAAGTAATATGAACCTTTAAAATCAGATTAATAAAAGCAGAGATTAATAGGTTATTTTCGTACTAAAATTGTCCTTAATCAACACAGCACAATACCACAAAAGGATGTAGAAGAACTTAATTTCAGCTGTTGTATTTAAATAGGAAGAAGGAAAAGATAAAAGGAAATATTAATTTCAGACACAGCACTGCAAAGACCACACTGGAATATGTTGAACTTGGGTGTTTTCCAAGTGAATGAAAAAAAAACCCCAACAAAAAAAGCAAACACCATCAAAAAACTAAAGGTCAAAAAAAGGTCCTATTACAAGCCTGGCAAATAGATCTAAGTCATGGAATAACAGAATCATGGAGTCATAGAATCGTTTGTGTTGGATGGGACCTTAAAGATCATCTAGTTCCAAGCCCCCTGCCATGGGCAGTGACATCTTCCACTAGACCAGGTTGCTGCAAGCCCCATCCATCCTGGCCTTGAACACTGCCAGGGATGGGGCAGCCACAATTTTTCTGGGCAGCCTGTTCTAGTGTCTCACCACCCTAACAGTAAAGAATTTCTTCCTAATATCTAATGTAAATCTACCTACCCTATTTCAGCTTAAAGCCCCTGCCCTGTCCCTACCTGCCGTTTTAAGAAGTCCCTCTCCAGCTTTCTTGTAGGCCTCTTTTAGGTAGTGGAAGGTTTCCCCAAAGCCTTCTCTTCTCCAGGCTGAACAAATCAAATTAAAGCTTCAAATAAGATATCAATATGAAGCATTCCTCAACTACAGATGATAAAACTTATTTTTACATTTGACCTCCAAGGCTGGGTTTATACACCAATAGATGGCTCTTCAAGAAGCCTCTTTTTTTCCTTTGACCTGAAGACATCTTCAAAAATATACGTGTTAAACCCCCAACAGCAGACAACTTTGAAACATTAACAATGGAGAAAAGAAAATACTCATGAGGTGTTCCATTTGCATTTATTAATTCAACAATATTTTATTTGGTCAGACCACAGAGTCTCTCCCTGCAAACTCACAGCTCCCCCAAAGCAAAGGAGAACAACCTGCCATAGGCAATGGGCATTGCTCAGGGAACCGACTGAGCAGATAAACCTTACAACTTAAACAGGCTGGATCTAATGTACAATATTCAGCTTCTGGCCCAGCATATTGTGAACTGAGAGGGCTTGGGCTAGGAATAATCCCACTTGAAAATACGTACCCTTGGTTACATTCTGTGATTTTGAACTGTACTGTTTCAACTAGACTGGGTACAAAGATGACACAACAATAAGCATCTTCTCTGCCCATGTCCCTCCTAGTCCTGTCCTTTGAAAGAACAAAGACATTGCTAGCTTCTCTAACAGACCCCAAGGGCCCAGGGTGATGTGCAATTCCCCTTCCTAGCACCATCCTTGTAGCTCAGAAGTTGGGAGAAAAAGCTAGAACTAGATATTTATTACAAGTGATGTGTCACTGCCTACACTCTGTTGAGGAAAAAAGTGTCAGAACCATCCTAAACACTATAAATGGGCTATCTATCCTGTAAAAAGAACTGGATATTTTATGGCCGTAGTTAACATGCACCTCTTTCTGTTCAGCAACTTACATCCCACAGTCTGTCCCAAGTTCAAAACACAGCATATTTTATACAGTCTCAAGCACTTCTCTCCCCATTCACTACCTCAATGAGGGGGAATGACAGCAGGAGATAGCCTTCCTACAGAATACAGCTACTTCATACCTAGGCCATTGCAAGCACTGTATTTCACCAATAGAATTCGATATACATGTACAATTGCAGTGTAAAGCACTGCTGTCAACGTATAGACCGTCCATATGAACTGGGGTCATGCAATATTACAGCAGGTAAATTCATCTGACTGTATTTTGAGACTGGTTAAATATTATACTGTGCAAACCAGAACTGAGCAAACTCCATTTACTGTATCGGTGGACCGTGTTTCACTTTAAAAGCATGTCTCCTGGATTTGTCCTCCTGCCAGACCCTTAGGATGAGCTGTGACTTTCAAGACAGCAGTCCACAGACAAACATACCTTCAAGCTTAAATTTCACAGGGGATAGTGAGTCTGGAATTTGCTTTTCCTCTTGGGCCAGGATGACACAATTTCCCCTACTTAACTGCTGCTGTTGCTTCCTTCTTGTTAGGCAAGAACTGTTCTACCCCATAGCAAGATTTCCTCCATCTCAGGTAAACTAACCACTGAGCTGGATTCACCCTTTTAAGTTTTCAGAAACTGAATTTTTTTTTTTTTTTCTTTAATGAAACAAACAACAAAGTGTGTACCTGATTTTTGAAGACTGAATATTTCCCCCTTGATGAAGTCTAAATCATACACCAAACAATACAGACACAAACCGTAATACTATGTAAGAAAACAAGCAGCATAAAAATTGTGTTCCTTGAGCTTAAGCTTCCTCTCTTTAATTATTACTCATAATTATTTTTCAGAAATGAAATAAAATGTACAAAATCTAGTGAAAAATTGTGTAATTGTTACCAAAACCACAAACCAGATGAAAAAAATCCACTTATTTCAGCAGAATCTGGTTTTACTACTAACTGCTACACTAAAGACTCATAAACAGGTTACACTAATCAATATTTTCAGAGAACTTCATGAGATGCAAACTGTAAAAAAACCCCAAACCTCATCAAGACAAAAAGCAGAAACAGAAGTAATTAGGGCCCCACTAATCCAGATTCAGCTACTTCTCATACGTTCTGCCACCAAGCAAGATGATAAATTGCTTGCTAGGATTTTGGTATTCCTATGCAATAGCAAATTGCAAATAGTCAGTGAGTGGAGTAATCAAATCAAGTGCTGTGGTCAATGCATTCTGTGACTGACTGCCTTTGCTGTTATCTGCTTATTTTTCCTTCATTTTTTTGCAATCTCAGTCATCTGCAGTAGCTTTCTCAATCATTGTGGATGGTTTTGCTCTGCTGAATTTTAGAATCCAAATATATAAATGTATATATATTTTCTACAATATAGCCCTTATACCACAAGCCACTTAAACTAAAAGCAAGCTACTTCATAGAAAACCCAATATATATCACGCCAGAGACAGAATTATAAATACATATGCATGCATATGCTATCCCAGCTATGCAAGAGAGACAGAAATGTACCAGTGGAATAATTCCCCTATAAGTCTAGGCACCCACAAATCTAAAACAAACAGCTCTCCCCTCTTAAAAGATGCATTCTTTCATTCCTGAAATGTTAGTGATGTTTTCCAAGGGACTACTTAAGCTTTTTAAGTATTTGTACTTTCACTGTGCTCTCCCATTGAGCAGAAAGTCCTCTTTGGCCCTGAAGAGTCACCTGCTTATCTCCCAAAACCTTAAGCCCACTTTTTAAGGGAGATTTACATATCATACTGTTGAGAGATGCACCTATAGAACATACTGCTCTGACTCTTGCACTGCTGAGCTCATCCCATCGCAGAGCTTAGGCCATCTTGCATGTACTAAGAGCAAACAGCAAGCACATCTAGTGCCTTGCTGCAAATCACCGCCTATCGCATCTGAAAAGGTGTAGGAAAAAAGCAGACTCAAATTAACATGCAGGAAGCATCAGCAACCATCACTCCATACTGAAGCTCCTGTGGGCAGAGACAGAAGATGTTACTGCTCCCTGTTTCCTCTCTCAGCAGGCTCTTCAACAGCACAACTGCATTTTTTATCCAGTTGAGACTAGGGAATAACAACATCATTTATGGAAATAAACAGGTGGAAGGTGAAAACCTACCAACATTCCTCTCTTTCTTGCAGTATACATCTCTAGTAGTAAACCCAAGGGAACCTAATCACATTATTATATCTAAACTACATGATATTGGACCTTCCCATACATGTGCTTCTCTTTCCCAAGCAAGAACAGAATATTCTACTGAGGCCCCAGAGAATCCAGAAAAGGTAAAATATCCTAAATAATAAAGTTTAGGTGAAATTCAGAGGACATGTAGAAGATACTGTAAAAATAAGTAGCCCACCCTTCTCACTAGTTCTGGCAAAAGGGATATTGAATTATATTTGAACACAATCATGGTAAAAATAGATGGCAAGAAGAGGAATTTTCTGACCAAAATGGCACATCTGAGGGAAATAACAAAAAGCTGAAGTAAGTACCAATCAGAGCCCAAACGTGTTAATGGAGAACTGCCTCTGAGAGTCAGCCAGAGCTCAGTGTGTCACTGTAGAAGGTACATTTCTCTAAATACCGTTCCAGAAGGTTTCCACTTCAGTTTTTAAGCAGTGAAAAAATGAAACTAGTGCCCTGGGATATGATTCAGTGAGCAGCTTCAGCTGTCAGAAGTATGAAAGAGGCAGCTGTCTCCCAGTCTGGCTTACCACACAAGCCTGGATGGTGCTGCAGGGGGGAAACCCCATGGGACCACCCCTTCTGATGACACCTCCACTCTGGCTAGTTTTATCTGCTCAAACTGCAGGTTGGAAAAGGTAATTCCAAAACACATCAGTTCAGGAGCCCTGCCCTAGGCTACCAGTTCACACATTTTTCAGTATTTCAAGTTCTCACTTCCTCAAGGCAATTGAGTCCCATTAACAGCCTGATGTCACAAGTGGAGCAAAAAAAAAAAAGGATGCAGCAGGTCAATTAGTGTTGTGCAGCTAATGGATAATAACTCATTCAAAGCTGTTTTAAACTGCTTTTGCAAGTCTGAGCTGAAAACATGTGGTAAACCAGGTCATAACAGTACACTTCTTGCAGACAGTGCCTGGTCTGCTCCTCCAAATGCTTGCCTTCTTATGTCTTATGTTTCAGTTCTGAGACAAAGCATTATCTGCTAAATATCTAAAATGCTAAACACATCAGGGAAGGAAGACTGCACGACTTAAAAACTCACTTTATATTATACTCAGTTTCTTTCCTAAGGTATGGCTAAATTCTCTTCCTTATTCTTTTCTACCAGAATCCATTACATTTAGTTGTAACTTTGTATAAATAAAATCAAACGATGGGGAATATAAACTTCGGTTTTTTGGTAAGCTATTTACATATGCCTCCCTAGAACAGCACTGAAACCTGCCTAGAAGATTTATTTATTGCTTTTTGTCTACTAAGCATTGAAATGACATAACCAGAACTGAAGTTCTTGGACACTGTTATTCCCCATACAAACTATATCACCCACACAGGTGATTTCTGCTACATAATGAAAGAAAGAGAGAGGAAAAAAGCAAGGGCACTCACACCAGAGATATTTTTTTCTGTGACCTACCTACAAGTCTGAAGTCGTATCTTCAACTCTGATTAATTCCGATGCGCCTTCAAGGCTGGAGGCTGATCATGTAATTTAATTTGATTTTTGGTGGTAGAAAATTCAAGGTAGGATTACCAAGCAAAAACAATTCAGAGAATTCTGTGAAACAAAGCATTCTATGTACTGCCTGATCAAAGTTTATCCTAAATATATCTATCTCTATCCTCGCTTTTCAAATATAGAGGACAGTCTTTTAGAAAAATATCCAACTTGCTTTTAAGACGCTTAATAGCACAAAGTGCAATGAAGGAAAAAAAACTATGAAACCTACTTTTTGTTCTGCTGTCCACTTCTATTTTTGTTGGCTCCTGAGTTGCTGTGGCTGGAGGTAATTTCTTCCCAACACTCTGAAAAAAAATAATTATGCTCCTTTAAAACTTGCAGTTTTAGTTAAAAGTTGGACAACATAAAAAGTTGTAACAGAAATACAAAATACAGGAGAAAAAAAAGGACAGTAAGAAACAGAGGTAAACTGTACTTCGGTTTGGGGGTGTGTGTTAGTTTTGTTGTTTTTTTTAACGATAAATAATTCATTATAATGAGATCCTTGAATTTTCCTTTAAAAAATGTTTACTAACATTTTTAAAACATAACCCTTTAATGCAGTTTCAGGGAAGACTCACGGAAGTTTAGTTAGTGGACTGAATATAGGATGAAATTACTTAAGTAAAGGTGCTATTCAATACCAGAAGTGAAGCAGGAAGAAGGGCATATAGGGGAAAAGCCCTTGACTTCTGTCCATACAAGGAGTATTCATTTCATTTATTCTAGACTGAGTGTGATTTTTTCAGTTGACAGCATCTCCTTAAATGGTTCAAATTTTTATTTATTTTGAGAAAAAACCCATCTGATTTACAGAGGACTACTACAACAAGCAACAATCAACCTCAGGCAGGTAAACTGAAAGAACAGTAAACAAACAAAAAGAACAAAATAGGAGACAAAATGCCCGCAACAAAATAAAATTGGTGATATTCATACTTACATAACTTCATCAATTACTACATTCATGCTACGGACTCTTCCACTCAGCTTTTCTGCCCAGCAAGAAAGCTGTCAAGCAGCACACTCCCCTCTGCCTTGTGCTTCAGAGATACTCTTAAAGAGTACCGTTTCAGTTTCCCTCTATCCTCCTCCAACATGCTGATTATCACAAATCAAATTTCTAGATGGTGGCAGTCAGACTCCCAACACACAACAGAACATATCAACGAAGCAGGCCAAATCTTGATCCCGCTATTTCTGCAAGGTGAGTATAATTAGATTATTTAACTGTTAAACACACCCCCCTCAACTGCCTGGCAAGTGAATCCTAAAGATGAAAGAGGATGAAGTACCCTCTTGATGCAGAAACAGCTGATAAAAGCATTGAATAATGACCATGATTTGGTGTACAGATATTCAGAGGGATGAGACAGATTTAGCAGCAACATGCAAGTATTAATGCTTGGGTTTATGAAGTCAAGGGAAGGATAGTCTAGCATTAAATAACAGCTTCTATTAGCAGAAGAGGCCTTGATTGGCAGTTTGGTACACTGCAAATCCCTATCACTGTAGACCAGTTTCCTCTGATACTGAATTAGCAGTGATTACAAAAGTGGTTGAGGTGGCACACAAAGTCACATGGATGGGGTCACGGTACAATCTAAACAGTCTCATTTCCTTTCATTTATGTATTTTGGCTCAACTGCAGTCTCTAACAACACAGAACAACACATAAGAAACAGAGCATGTAATGGGCAGTATACTAATGAGTTTTTCTCACTTGAGGGCATTACGACCCTTCCCTACAACTATTCAACCTTGACAAGAGGAATAAAAATAGACCTGTGATCAGGTTTCCTCCTTCAGGGATATTTTAAAATTGTATTTCAGGATTTTCTGTTGTTGTTTAGGTCTTGTGTCTCTTGAAGACTTAATCTGACGATTCCAACTGAATTGTCACTTCTGCACCAGCTAGGTTCATACAGAAGATATTGTAATACTTCTTTGCACTAAAGATACGTGCTCATCCTCTGACTCTCCTTTACAAATACAGGCTTCTCAAAGCAACAGCTTATTTACTCATAAATAAGGAAAAAATATTTACTCGGCATCAGCATTTATTCTGGAAAGTGTACTGAGCTCTTTATCCTAAGTAAAATATTTTGGCACTGCTACTTGAAATATAACTCCTTGAAGATATTCTTAAGGAATACATCAGACATTAAAGAATTCATAAAAATGGGCTGTATGAGCTGAAAACACTAATGTTTTTAAGCTTAACACTTTCTGGCAGTATGAATAGTGAAAATATAACAATATGCACTGATGTTTATACAGGAGAGGAAAAGGCAGTTATGTGCCTTGAGAACTTGCAGAATTTCAGAAAACCTCAGTGAGGTCAGGGTTAAAAATATGCCGTGTTTGTTTGACAAAAATACTTCCTTTTAACATTCAACTAGTATTTTTGAATGCTATTTATATGCATGAGAATTTTTTTGCCTATAGGTTTACATTCAAATCCAAGACCACTATTAGTGGCAATATAAAAGCTGTATTCTTTAATGTATTTTTCACAATCCATTTGTAAATGAGAACATTTTTTCACAAAGAAGTAGAAATGGTCACTAGATCCACTGATCATCCAAATCTGGATGACCAGTAGCATAAACAGTCTTCTCACTGACTATGTATAATGCTTCTGTTGTGAGGGGGAAGCCAAAATTTATTTTCTTTTTCTAGTATGCTTCACGTGCCTAAAGAACATCAATAAGTCCTTAATGCATCCTACCTGGTCTACCTTAAATTCAAAAAACTCTAAAAAGCCCAAATATATAAGCACCAAAACCTTCCAGATGTCAAAATGCCCTTATTCTGTCAAAGACAAAATAAGAGAAATGTTCAGGATTTCAGCTTTTCCCATGATATTAACATTCAACTCCACATAAAGTACTTTCTGTGACAGCATGATCAAGTATTGCTATCCTGGGGTTTCCCAAAAGGACAGAGTTAACACTTTTCCTAAAGGGTCACCATATGGCACTTCAAAGTGGGTAACGGGAATTTTAAGAAACCTTTATAAAGAAAACAAAACTAGCGAAAGTGTCTGCCTGCGTATTTAATTGTCTCAGTCATCTCAAATAGCTTCTTCCTCTGTACCTGCTTTCTACCCACCTGTGCTTTGGTAGAAATACCATTCACATGCTCCTGAATGACAATGATTGGTAGTTTTTAATACCAGCTAGATAGGTACATCTGCCCAATTTACCCCGGCTAATACAGAGAGCCCCAGTTGCCCAAGCTACATACATTTCTACTGACATCATCTGGGAAGACATTCCCGCCACAAGGCAGGGTAATTTCTTTAAAACTAGGTTAGGTTAATGAATGGGACAGGAAACAAGTGTTCATCAAGTCCTCAATTACAACCAGACTGTTGCAAGCACAGACAAGCAAAATCCTTCTTATTTTCCTGCTCCTAGTTTACTCTGAGTATGAGCACAGAGACAGGATGTCTCATAATTGGTGTCTCATGGGTATCTCTAATTCACTTGCTGTGAGCAAGAGAGAGGGAACAGCACAGTCATTGCCCAAGCCCACCCACCAAAGGCGGCCGCATCCCCACAACGCCACACTTGACCATGGATTCCTGCCACCGTTCCTCCCCTGTGCCATGACAAAAGTGTATCTGCAAGGAAGTGGAGGGAACTGATCCATGTTAAAAGGTAATGCAGAAGGAAAGGAAGAACAAAAGAGAGTTTTAGTGTTATCTGCTTCACTAAACAGCTGCATAAACATTTGGGTAGAACTGAGGCAGGAAAATTTATGGTTGTAGGGCTCAGGTGCAACTGTAGGTTGCAGTGCTCATTTATACCAGCTTAAGTTCATTGGAAAAGCATGGTGAGCATGTCACAGTGTGCTTCAATAATTCCTGGTGCCAGCATGTCACATTTTGACCCTTCTCAGGGCAAGGTTGGAGTAGTGCTGGCCTTTGTATCATTCAAAAGATGAAATATGAACACCCAAGTACTCAGCTCTACATACCAGATGATACTTCCATAAGGAATGGGCGCTCTGACAACAGGATCAGATGTGGCACACACCCAGAGAACTTTTGTAATGGGATGTTTATGTGGCAAATATTTCACAGAATGCAGAGAACATAGCAATTAAAGTATTTTTAAATTTCATCTTAAAGTTTCTTTGCACATAGTTGAGCTATATTACCTTCTACTGGACAATCTGAAAATACCACATTTTCACATTTAGTTCATATACCAGCAGACTTACACGTAGTTTTTCCAGCTAATGTCTGTACTAGATGACTTTTGACTGGGATGAACACAGGCTTTCTCAATTGCAGCATATCTTAGCAAACAAATATTTTTTCTTTTGAAAAAGATTTTACCTGTGAAAGATTTTACCCTTGCACAGTAAGATTGCAAAACCCAGTACTTAGGCGCTGCAAAAAGCATATGAACACTTGCCAACAAAACCAACAGCTCTCTAAATAAAAGACGTCCCTCCAAATTACATCCTGCTCTTACAAAGCAAAAGAGCAAAGCCTTCATCCTTTTGGAGCTCCTCGAAAAGTGACATAATTTCAGCCATCAGCATGACTCTGACCACAGTTATCAACTTCAGACAAAGGAGACAAGTTTTCTGAAGTGAACAGTGAAGAGGTGAAGGCCCTGTAACTGTTCATGAACATCAGTCCTCCAGGAACTAGCTACTATGCCAGTATTGCCTTGGAGGAAAGTAACCTTCAACTAGTCGAGAAGTATATTCTGTTTGCATGTTAAAAGCTTTTGAATTAGAATGCATATGCAGAAAAACTAAAGATATCTGGGGGAAGAAGGTTTTCTAGTGTTCACAAAGAAATGGATAAATTTTTACTGAATACAAAAGTTACTTGAATGCAGAAGAAAAAATAAAAGGGCAAGAAAAATAGCATGTCACTCTAACTCCTACTATAATACTCTAATTCTCATTCCAGAGAATAGTAAACATGTTGTGACCACATTACACGACACCCAGTTCACTTGGTGCCCTAGAAATACTGAGCGTCAAGAGCATCTTACAATTACTGTATCTGTCATCCACAGTCATGGCACTGGAATCCAAGCAGGCAGGCAAGCCAGCAAGTAAACAAAGTAAAGGAAACAGCACAGAAGTCCTGAAACAAGGGAAATTTTAGAACAAAACGTGATTTTGATGGGACTTTGTTTTCTGATTCATCAGCAGTGATCATTCTTCTGATGTTTTTACAGTTGATAAAACCTGCAAAACTACCTCTTCTCATTAGTTGAACTGCTTAGACTGTATCAAGGCTAAGAACAAATGTTTTGAATACTTAAGAAATAGT